GTGGTTTAAATAATTTCAGACCAGAAAAGAGGTTTAAGAGTATGAAGCTGATCAGGATTCCTCATGTTTTGTTTCCTTTTATTTTAGCTCTTCTTTTGTACTCAGGGAAGTATAAATATGTTATAACTAGACTTGACCTTTCTAAAAGAATGAGAATAAGTCTTCGTTTGAGACAGCTTTTGACCACTACTTTTTAATAGTACAAAAATGCATTTTGGAAAGCAATAAAAAAAAACCTAAACCAAACCTAAGTCACCATTGCTTTATCCTTATCAACTTCCCTTAATTTTCTTTAGCATCTCAGATCCGAGAACAACATTTGAAGGCATAGAGATATTTATAATCAAATTCACAGCCACCATTAAAGTTGCAATTGTAACCAAAGTTGTACCAAATGAATATATCCATAATTGAAGTTTGAAGATATCATTGTCTTAAGCTTGTTGGCAAGAACTTAGCTCAATAAATTATATACATTCTTCTATGTAATCATTATAACATCTCGCCACTTCTTCTTCAGCATCATTATAAAAGAATCATAAATATCCTATGGCATCTGATGTAGTGGATCGTCGGAAGTCGATACCTGCAAGAAGGATTTGAAAACTCCCAATCCAGGGAAGAAGAGAAAGAAAGCTTTTCAAGCTTCAAAAGGTGTATATATCATTCAATACCTCATTCCTTACAATAACTTGAATATATAGCCATAATAGAAGACTCTAGAATCATAAAGGATAGACTATTCCTAAGGATTAATTTTACTAAAGATGTTCCTACATCATACTCCCCTTGCGTAAAAAAAAGAGCTCGACTCCGTTCGAGGCTCGTTAATTAGAAGGGAGGTAGGGTGGCACACAAATTCCGGGATCGAAGACTTTGTTCTCAATATTTTCCTCCTGTAGAGTGGCCTCTTGGAAGTTTCCAAAACTCATTACTCGAATGCCAATTGCTTTGCAGTCCTCGATGGCTTGATAAACTTCTTCACGTATAGGATTCCTCAGCCCAAACAAATCGGCAAATATGAGATCACTTTCTATAAAAGCATAATTAGAAGGAAAAAACAAGTCATCTATTCCTTCAAAGCATAAAGCACGCTGTCCAGTAACCAGCTCAAGAAGCATGATGTCATATCCAAAAACATCAGTCTTCTCGGATGCCTTGCCTGTGGTGATATAAGCAGGTGCTTTGAGACGTTGAGTTCCACAAATCTGAGAAGTTACAATTGTTTTTTTCATATCCATCAACTTGGCCAATGCAAGGTCTCCAACTACAGCCTCAAAGTACTCATCAAGAAACACATTCGCGGAGTTGATATCACTATGGATGATCTTTGAATTGCAACTCTCATGAGGATATGACAGAGCTCGAGCAATTCCAAGAACCACACAATATGGCAGACCATCCTTCAATCTCTTTACTGCAATATTCATGTTGTCCTGAAGAACTAAATCAATCTCAACATAGAAGTCGTCAACACCCAACTGCACGAAGTCATTAGCGACATTATGTCGAGCAACTTGTGAGCATGACGTTGGATTAGCTTTGTTAGTCGAACTTAGACGGGGCATTTTCACACCTGCAGGGAAAACGTTCCTAATAACAAGAATAAAGTTGGTATTTAGTTCAATCTCCCCATTTCCATGAACCACCAAATGTCGATCGTTTCTTTTCGCAAACTGATCCGCTAATGCCACAGGAGAACAACCTCTTTGATATTTGACTTCCATTTTTTTGGAAGGCTTCACCTGTGATTTGAATGCATCGGAAAGAGTGTAGTTGCTTATATTAAGTACCTGGAGCTGAGAATAATTTCCATCCATGGCAGAATACGGAGCCCGCATTGCATTGTTGTGCGCGTAGGTTGGTTTGAAAAGGTCGGAATGGGTGACGAGGACGAAATGGCCGGCTTCGGGGCTTGCCAGCATAGCGCAGGGGTAGCCAAGAAGGTGCGTTTTGAGTATCTCATCGTGCCTGGTCATCACACTGGTCGGTGGCATAGCAGCAGGCTTCAACTCCCCGCCGGTGCAAATCGACGTGTCTGCCATCTCGTTACCACCGCCATCTGATACCACCGCGTCCTCAGATGACGACATGCTGTGGCTGCCGGTATAGCTATGCGTCGGCTTGGATTTAGCGAAATCAAGCATGATGAAGCCTGGCGAAGCTCCGCCGCCAGCTGGCACGACACTGTCCAAGTGGTAAATCCCGGCTTCCACCGACGAAGCGTATTCCAGATGCAGACACGAATCTACATCGGAGAAGCAGTCGTTTGATTTCATCATCATCGGATCCTTCGCCGGAATGGGAAATATCCAAGTTGCGGCTGTTGGGGCGTTTACTTCCCCATCATCGGCATCGTATAACAGAGCGGAATCGTCGGTGGAGTTGTAATCGACGTCGAGCTGTTTTTCTGCTCGATCCGTGGGTACGAGAGCAACATTTAACTGGATTGATGAAGAGCAGTCGGTAGATCTGAAGGTGGAGACAGAACGGTATTGCTTCACAGAGATGGGATCACGTGAGCTGAGCGGAAGGTCAGGCGAGACCGGAGGAAGTCTGGCATTGGCGGGTTTGGTTTGGTAATCGAGCTCAGTATCTGGAGCAACATCGCGATAGCATAGTGGTTTCTCGGCGACGGAATGATCGTTTGAAGGTGAATCTGAAGGCTGAAGTAGGTTCGGTTGCGCTTGATTGTTGGTGGAGCAGTTGAGCGACGGGGACGGTATGGTTGCCGTCCTGCTCATGATTCTCTCCACCGATTGCAAGACATTAGCACATAAAGCATCTATTCGATCGATTGATGCTTCAACGTGAGCCAACCGAAGGGTTTCCCGGCGTTGCACATGATCGGCATTCCTTCTTCTTCGGTGGCGGTTGAATTCTGGAATGAGGGGTTCGGGATTGCGAAGTAAATGGTCCGGCAATGGATTCCGCCATTTGAGCGGAAGTTCTAGGGGAAGGTATTCCGGCGGCGAATCACGCCATTGGAGTGGAAGTTCAAGAGGCGGATAGTCACCGATCTCCCGTCTTCTTCGGCGCCGATCGTCGTCGCACGCCCATCTCCTTCGGTGGCGATCCTCGTCGACCGCCCATCTTATTTGGCGTCGATCTTCGTCGACCGCCCTTGATCTACGGCTTCGAACGTCGTCGACAGCCGACCTTCTGCAATACATCGATCTTCTCAAGCTCCAGGCTCTGATACCAACTGATGTAGTGGATCGTCGGAAGTCGATACCTGCAAGAAGGATTTGAAAACTCCCAATCCAGGGAAGAAGAGAAAGAAAGCTTTTCAAGCTTCAAAAGGTGTATATATCATTCAATACCTCATTCCTTACAATAACTTGAATATATAGCCATAATAGAAGACTCTAGAATCATAAAGGATAGACTATTCCTAAGGATTAATTTTACTAAAGATGTTCCTACATCAGCATCCTATGTCACTTGTTCAAAAAATGTTTTCAATTCTGGTTCAATATGACCTAACTCAGGCTACTCTGTAATGTTATACGATATATGAAATTGTAAAAAAAAAAGTCACATATATGGCTTGTTGTAAAAAAAAAAATATTTTTTGCATAGCAATTTGTTCATAATGGGTTGATCAACTCACGAGTACCGAAGTAATTATCACAAATGAAGTATATTGAACATTTTAATTCTCTCTTTGGTATGTTGAGGTAGAACTCACTCATCTCTTTAGAGCTTTTGGAGCCATCAATTTAAAGAACGGATCTGATCAGGGCTTGTACTGAAAGACCACCCCTTGGACGAATTTCAAAAAAAGAACTTTCTCTTCTAACATATTACTTCATTTTCTAAGTTATTCATTTTAATATATTTAAAAGCAGAAAGAATGACCCGTCATTATATCCCTTCATAATAAACATACAAATCAGTGAATAAAGCTAGTCAGTGATTTCGTAAGCAAGTCAATGACTTCTCCAACAAAAAAGTACCTTCGTTAACAAGTCGATAATCTCATTAGCTAGTTGACAATCAAATTAGTACCTTAACTCATATCGTTAACCAACCCTCAATTGATTCATCAATCAAGCCGAAATGTCATCCGAGATGAAATCATTCTCATTTTAACTACACACCTTAGATTAGGGTACATTTATGCTTTGCTTCCTATCCTTTTATAACTCAATATATAGCTAATTCAGTGATGTGTGACTAGATCTAAAATTACAAATAGTAGATCCTATGAAGAGCTAGCCAGCTAAGGGAGGCTAAAAAACCTTCACTCAAGATTATGATAATAAAATCTCAGTATTTCTTATTGTAACTTTTAATTTTTTTTTTTTTAACTTTTGTTCTAATTTATCTATTCTCAATCTTATTGTCTATGGTAGCATATAGGGGTGTCAATTCGGGTCAACCCGTCGGGTTCGGGTCGAATCCGACCCGATCTGGATCTAAACGGGTCAACCCGAACCTGACCCGGCCGGGTTGCCGGGTTGACCCAACCCGACCCGCGGGATCGCGAGCGAGGGCGGAGCGGCCGAGCTGGTTCGCGTCTTCGCGAGCGGGGCGGAGCGGGTCCAGCGGGATCACGAGCGAGGCTGCGAGGGCGGAGGTGCGGAGCGGGTTCGCTTCTTCGCGAGCGACGGAGCGAGGGCGGAGTCGAAGAGCGCGAGCGCGGGCGGGATTGCGAGCGAGCCAGCGAGGGCGGAGCGAGTGCGACTACGGGAGGGATCGCGAGCGAGTGGGGCGGAAACCGGGTTAAACGGGTCGACCCGCGGGTTGTCGGGTCGACCCGCGGGTTGTCGGGTCGACCCGGACCTGACCCGTTTTTCAAACGGGTCAAAATTTTGAACCCGAACCCGACCCGTTTAACAAACGAGTTGACCCGAACCCAAATTTTTTGGATCAGATTCGGATTGAATTTTCGGGTCGGGTCAGAAATTGACACCCCTAGTAGCATAAGGTCCTGATTTACCAGCCATCAAATATGATTTTATTATCAAATAAATACTGGGCGACGCCCTACGATTCCCCCAAAAATGTGACGAAGCGCGGCACATTTACGTTGAACCTGCTCCGAGCGTTATTAATAATAAGTCGCGCGCCATCGGCCTCACGGTCTCGTCCAGTCCTCGACCTAGATTCCGGCGATGAAGTCTCCACCACCGTCGTCTTCCTCCTCCTCACCGAGGCGAAGCCCCTTCTCCAGCTACCTGATCACACTCTCCTTCATACTCTTCGTCGCGTTCCTTTACGGCGAGGACTTCGCCTGCGTTCTCCGCCACCCCTTTCACTCCTCCGAGATCCAGGAATACTCTGCGTCGAAAGGTGAGAGCTCTACATTAGCTAGCTTAGATCGGGTCTTTGGAATACTTATTCGTATTAATTGCTTAGTGAAGGATGATTTGGTCGCGGTGGATGAGAAGAAGTTGGCAGTGGTGCCGTTCGCAGTGGGACGGGGGAAGAAAGGGTGCGATTTGTTCGAAGGGGAATGGATCTACGACGAGGAAGGTCGGCCGCAGTACGAGGAGGAGGAGTGCCCATACATCCAGCCGCAGCTAACATGCCAGGCTCATGGTCGCCCGGACTCTGCATACCAGCATTGGCGATGGCAGCCTCGCCGCTGCTATCTTCCCAGGTACGCCGGTGCTGTTCAGCAATTGAAAAGGGGTTTTTTTTGTGGCCACAAGTAGGATTTAATTCAATTTGGGTTTAGAAAAACCTGTTTATCCACATTTAGTAAATCATGGATGTGTTCAATTCTAAAAATTATTTGGCATGATAGTTTTTAAATATAGTTAAATCTTAATAAATTATTTGATAGATAATTTTTAGATTTAAGATTTAAATGAAGAAGAGACTAAGAAGACGTGCGCTAAATCTCATAAATTCTACTTCCCCGATATTTACTAAATCTGGGATTTAGCCTAAAATAATAGGAAAACGAGATTTTAAAATGTAGTAGAATTTAGGTGCCTTAACAACGCTGGCCAAATCTTGCAACCAAACAACCCGAAATGCTGATTTTGAGCGGCTTGAATCCAATGCGTTCTGCGTGCCTTCATCTTGGCCATTGGACCATGGAATTGGGAGCCTAACACAAGGGTCGGAGATTATTATTATTATTTTTAATCATTTTTGATGGGCGAAAGGACCTCTTTGTAATTTGTATTTGGGGCTTGTTTGGTAATCAAAGATATCACAAATCGGGAAAAGTTCATGGTTCCTACTTCTCTTACTAGAATTAAAGTCTGAATTTTGCTTCAGATTATGTAGTCAACTTGGGAAAATTTGAAATCTTTGCGGGATATTGATGTAGTTTGAATTAGAGGCTACTGTTATGTTTTGCACTCTATGTGTTAGAAAAAAATTGGGTATTTACTTTGTTAATCTAGATTCTTCGGTCTGGGTTGAACTTCAGTTTGCTATAGCTTTATGATAATTTATTGTTCAAGTGTATGGTCTAGAGTTGATCAGATTCACTCATTCTAATGTGCTTGCTAACCCTCTTAATTTAGGGCTATAATATACCCTAACTAAGGGTGTAAACAAGTTGAGCTGAGCTCGAGTAATCCTTGACTTGAGTTTGGGCTTTGATTAATTATTCGAGTTCGAGCTTAATTCAAGTCGGCTATTGGACCAACTCATTTACAATAAAAGAGTGAAATTCATTGTTATTTAAGCAGTTGTTATAATTACATGAAAAAAAAATCAAATGAGAAATAATAAAATCACTTGAAATAATACACTTTTTAAATATTTTTAGCAACTTTATACCAAACTTATTGAATTTATATATATTTTAAGTGTATGTAATATTAACAATTTTTAAATTAGCCAGTTTACAAGTTGACTGGTCAAGTTAGAGCTAGTTCAAGTTTGGCTTGTTAGCTCATCGAGCTCAACTTCTGAGTCATTTATCTGAGTCGACTTGACTTAGCTACATCTATAACCCTCACTATAACATTTTAAACGCAATCATGTACTCATCCAACTTATGGAAGAGCTTTTGTGCCTTTATTTAGTCTTTGTATATATTTAAAACATACTTCGCTAATAAGGTGTGATACAACGTCATATAAAAATGTAGCATATATTTTTGCCTCTCAAAGGAAAGATGTCGTTAGAGCACTCATTTAGAAGGCAAGAGGTCTCGAGTTTACATCTTAATGAAAGCAATAGTTGTTTTACTTCATACCCAGTTGTTGGGGGCTTCATGAATTCTCTAACATGTTATTTTTTAAAGAAGAAAATGCAAGCAATTGAACTTATTTTTTCTTCTCTTCTCTAAATCACACTTTTTTAAGGAACCTTTTATCTACTCTCGTATGCTTTTTTTAATTCTCAAATTGCAGTTTCAATGCAACTCTGATGCTAGAAAATCTCCGAGGCAAGAGGATGATGTATGTTGGCGACTCCTTAAATCGTGGCCAGTTTGTCTCCATGGTCTGCCTCTTGCACCGAATCATTCCTGGCAGTGCTAAATCCATGGAGACATTTGATTCCCTCACCATCTTTAGAGCTAAGGTATATAATGCTAAAATATCAACTTCTTAGTTTTAAATGTTTTTAAGAAAAGGAGGTAGCAAGAATTTATATTATTTAATTTTCAGGATTATAATGCCACAATTGAGTTCTACTGGGCTCCTTTCCTTGTTGAATCCAACTCCGACAATGCTGTTGTGCACAGAATTTCAGATAGAATAGTTCGAGTAAGATCTATTAACAAACATGCTCAACATTGGAAAGGGGCTGATATTATTGTTTTCAATACTTATCTATGGTGGATGACTGGACAGAAAATGAAGATTCTGTAAGCTCTCATCTTTCCAAGTTAATTTTTTTAAAGTTTGGCTCATCAAGATTGAATTAAGTTTTCATTCATGCCTGTTACTATTTCATAGGAGAGGGTCATTCAATGGTGACATGAAGAACATTGTTGAGATGGAGACGGAAGAGGCATATCGGCTGGCTCTGAGGAGAATGGTTAAGTGGGTAGAAAAGAACATGGATCCCAATCAGACTAGAGTTTTCTTCACTAGCTTGTCACCCTCCCATGAGATGTAAGCGCTGAAGTTCATTTGCTCAAGTTATATATAATGTTTTTATTAAATTAGCTTAGCTTCTGATAAAAAGTTTTCATTAGTAGAATTAAGCATTGGTATAGAGATTAGCATTATAGAAGTGATGCAACATGAGGATAATTACTCTTGAATGTTCGTGCTTGCATTTGAAACCAAAATACTGTAGCTTATTATTAACAAGAAGTGACCATGTCAATGAGAATTTTTTTCTTTGAAGTAACATTTTCTTTGCAATTGCAAGTTGTGATATTTAGATCTGTCGTAATAAGCTATTTTTTGCTACTTAATCTACTAAAAGCTCAATAGCTATGATTAATGTTTTTTTCAAACTTTTAGAATGTGTTTGGATGCTGAGAATTTGAGCAAAAGAAAAAGAAAATCAAGGGTTGAAAAGTTCAATTCAATGACTGATATCAACATTGTTGAGATTTCATTTCATTTTATTTCCTTCATTTTCCTTCAATTCAAACAAAGCCTACCAATAAAGTTTTTGGGCTCACCTTTGGTAACATCGACTTGCACTTGATGATTATGTTCATGCTAAAGTTTCTTCTTTTCTTGGATCAAATTAACATTGAATTAAGCATATTGACGTCCTTTTTAGGCCATCAATTAACATGACTTATTTTCTTCAGGAGTTTGGGGTGGGGAGGAGAACCAGATGGGAACTGTTACAATGAAACAACTCCTATTAAGGATCCAAATTACTGGGGAAGAAGCTCTAGCAAGGGAATCATGCGGGTCATTCGTGAAGTTTTTGACAAATCAAATGTGCCAATTACTGTTATTAACATCACTCAGCTTTCAGAGTACCGAAATGATGCACACACTTCCATTTATAAGAAACAATGGAGCCCTTTGACGCCGGAGCAGCTAGCTAACCCAAAAAGCTATGCTGATTGTGTGCACTGGTGCTTGCCTGGACTCCAGGACACCTGGAATGAGCTCCTCTACGCAAAACTCTTCTTTCCTTGAGAGGCATGTTTTCTTTTTGTTCTCATTCTTGTAGCTATAAATATTTTTATCTGAAGAATACAACTACAGTAAGTTTCTTATTGATTTTCTTTAATTGGTTGATAGAAGGAAATTGTTGTAATCATTCCGGTGAGCCATTTCTGTAATTAATAGTTCTTTCAATTAAAATTTTGATAAAACATGATATTGTTGCTTATAACTGATATGGGTACTGTCAAAAGATTGCTAAAATGGGCTGATGCCTGGCTTGTGTGAGCATATTATCATACAATGTTAATCTCTGTTGAATCATATTTGATACTTTTGATGCTGAATTATTTAGTACTACTGCTATGTTTTATATTACATAGAAGCTTGTGTTGATGTTAGTCATGAAATTGTTGAAAACATACTGAAATTATGTTTTTATGGCTGGAATAATTTGCATAAACCTTTTTGAACTTAAATTAAACGAAATGTGTGGAGGATTAAAAAAAAAGCACTTTATGTTTAGTTCAAATGCTGAAATTTTGGGCAGAATTTATTATGGAAATGCAAGGGAAGTATTAATTATGAGAAAGGTTGGGGGAGGAAAGGGGGTTGGTTAGGAAAATCAAGTGAGGTTAGAGGAAGAGATGGGAGTTGGGGTGGGATGGAATGATATCTTAAGGTTTATGGGATGATATTTGTGAATATGAGTTGTGAAGAGGGTTGTTTTTTATAAGTAAAATTAACTTGAGGATATGAAATATTATTTTGAGACATTAACTAGCTAATTTTGAGACCTGAACTAGAATGAAATCTTTGCAAAAGTTATTATATTTGTGTGACAAATAAAAAATATTAACGAGTAAATTGATTTGCTTAATTCAATGTAATAATAGAAGTTCTAGAACATTAGGGACACCTTTAAATTTTTTACCAAGCATCAGCATTCTGAAAATGCTGTTATAACCAATTAGGTTCGTCAAACATGCATGCATTGACAACACAAGAAATCAACATCCGATACTTGCCAAAGAAGAATAAATTAAGCCAGACCTCAAAACAGATGCTAAGGGATAAATTGACAAATCAAGCTAACCAACCAATAGAAAGACACAGTAGGCTAGGGTAAATCAACTGAGATCGTAGGAAGGAAAAAAAATCCAAAATCCATTATTGTATCTAATCAATGAGCATGTGTATAATTTAATGAATTACGAGCTGCAACTTATCTAAGTCTTGAAGTCAGAAAAATTTTATATTATAATGGATATATTAGAAGGACAAACCTCGTCAAGGACATTCAAATTATAATTAAACATAAACTTTTGTTTATTATTCAATAAATCTTTCACCACTAACATAATATGGCAGGGAGGTAAGACTTGTGCAGTAGGACAATATGGGACACAATGATAAATCATGAAATCATAATACAACCACCTAACAAACCAAAAAGAAAGCAACAACAACTCTAAATTCAAAATACATTACACTTCTTTTACCTCTTATTTTTAAATATCAAACCAAACATTTCCTAAAAGAAGAAGATTAATTAAAAAAAAAAAAAAAGAAGATGCCGAGCAATCTTAAGGAGATGAAAAAATTTGCTTTTTACGATCCCATTTTGTTAGTGATTAGAAATGCAGCTAAATTAATGAATAATGCCATTGCCATTATAAACATTATGCATCTTTTGGGAGAAATATTAAGTACCATCATTTGATCTAATGGATTGAATGTCTATATCAATTGCCTATAGAGATAATCATCATCATCACCATCAATCTTATCGACTATTTGGGGTTGGTTTCATGAATACTCAAATTTCATTTATTTCTATTTAGCGTTATTTAAATTGATAAGTCATGAACTTCTGCATTCAATGTATTGTACAATAAGATATGTGCATTAAAAGCACCTATGACCTATTGGCCCATCACTGAGACTTAAGAACTACATTGTTAACTGTAGAAAATTACCAAAACTAAGCTGTGAATGAGTTGGCAACACAAAAACGACAAATTTTACCACTCATAATAATGTAGTAGCTCAAATCCCAGTCTATAGGCATCTTGTGCCTGAGTTATACTTAAGTCTACTTAATAGTTGTTTTGCACATATTCTATTTTTTAGTTTAATTATTGTTTTATCTTAAGTGGTGATTTGGTTATGTAGTGTGAAAATAGTTGCGAAGTCGCATACACATGTTGATGATGACATCGCTCAGAGATTCAGACACGTGTAACGGCGACGGAATCGTAGATCGACGGCTACGATTCAGCATCTTTACTTTTGATGCTTTATGTTTTATCTAGTCTTGTTGTATGCATGATGTTTTATTTAGTTTTGTTGTTTTCCAATTTTACCCCTATGGGGAGTGTCTTGTCATTGTAGCCCGGAGGGCAAGTTTGTAGTTTTTCTTTTCATTTAGAGGCCTATATATAGTGGCCCTATGTGTTATAGTGGGATGATGAATGATTAAATGAATTTTGTTTTGTCTTCTTCTTCTTCTTGTGAGTGCACTAGAGAGAACAGAGAGCCCAATGAGTGGGCAAACGCAATACCCACCAGTCACCGGAAGAGTCCGTGGCTCGTGGTCTTCTTTTACGTTTTCTATTCCATCTCCGAATATTTTCCCGCTAACTTCTCGTTATCCTTCCACTTTCATTCCGCCAACAAAATACCCCTTGATCCCTGCTAAATTCCCCTACCAAAATCCCACCCGCCGGCCTAGCTCCTAGCCACCTCCACCCAAAGCCAAACCCGCCTCTTCCCTCTTGATCGCCAGCCCCATCCACCTTTCAAATCATTATGATGATTTTATTTGTCATAATGATCCCTCTAAATTGGCTCTTGCAATAAAGAAAGGAGTTTGAAAATTTTGAAATTCAAATTTTGAAATTAAAAAACTTTCCTTATTTGCAAAATCTAAATAAGGAAAGTTTTCAAATTTTAATCCAATTTAAATTTAATTTAGAAACTCATCATTTTCCCTCCTAATTGGTCAAGCTTGTTTGGAAATAGCTTAACTCCCCACAATCCCCTCTCCCCTCTCTCTTCATGCCACCAGCCCCATGATGGGCTTCTCCCATTAAATGCTCATTTAATCCCTCACCTAATTGAAATTTGAATTTAATTGCAAAACATTTTCCCTCCAAATCCACTTAAGCTGAAATTAATTTCAGTTTTTCTAATTCCTCTTCCCCTCTCTCAAAACTGAACCAAATCCCTCTTCCTCCAAACCGCCCCTCTCTCCAGCCCTAGCCACCCTTCTCTTGTGTACCCCCTACCTTCTTGTGAAACCCTAGTTCTCTCATGACACTTGAAGCCAATAGAATAAGACAACCTCCTCCTTCGTCAGCGTCATTGGTACATGGCCGATCCTGAGGTTGATCATGGATTCGCTTACAACGACCGCGGGGAGATCGACATCCTCCGCTTCCCCTTCTACGAGCCTGATTGGGAATACGACGAAACAGTGGAAAGATATGTCAAGTGCATCCTCTACTGCTTAGCGGAGACGATCAATCTTCAAAAACCTAAGACGCATTGGCTTCTTATTGGGAGATCTACCCCTCCTCCGTCCGTGGCTACCTCTCCATCAACAAAGACCTTCGGTACCATCTTCATAGCGGTAGTTTTTCTCATCGTATGCTTTATCTTTACCCACTAAAGCCTAAGAGTAATTGAGTGAGTAGGAACTCTAAGTGACTATATCTAGATGTTACGCCGTGGATTCTTGTTTACTTGTTATTAGCATTATTACTTTGTTTCGTAGTTATTGAGATTTTCCTGTTATCCTACTTGTAACTTTTGTCATCACTTAATCTCTTAATTGAAAATTCTATGAATTTGGATTGAGAGAAGCTTGAGTTCTTAATTAGCTAAAGTTCATTTTCAATCTTTATTGTTAAAACCTAAGCAACTCTTGCCGCATGTTTGTTTTGCATCACATGTTGTTTGTCTTTGTCAGAATATAGAACTGTTATAGAATTTTGTTAGACCGGTCCAACCGGTCCATGCAGGAACGGCCCGAGCACGATGCAGCGGAATGCCTCCGCCCCTTTTCCACGATCGCACCGCCCACGTCCACGGACCAATTTAGGAAGGATTTGGGAGGGAAATTTAAATGTATGGATTGTTTAGGGATTTCCTTTTGATTTGTATGCATTAGATACTTTGTTTTCCTAGGGTTTGGGTATCTTGAATTTGGCTGAAATTTGAGATATCTTAGATTTAGGTTTTCTTTGGGCTCTAGCGGCGTCTAGAGATTTCGGAGAGATCGATCCTCCTCTCGAATAGAGGATCAATTGTATCTTGCTATTTTCCGTTTTCCTTTCATCAAATAATACCAATTATCTACTGTTTTGTGATTTGTGTGGACTTTTGTGAAGATTTCTTGCTGTTTTCTGAAGATTGATAGGAAATACTTGAGATATACAAGTGTTTCCTATCAAATTGATACTATTTGATGAGTAGGCTCTAGCTGACGGCTAGGGATTTAGGAGAGCTGGATCTCTCTCTCCAATTGAAGATCCAACTATATATTGTGTTTATCTTCTTAGTTCTTAAAAAAAAAAGAGTTATTGTGCATTCTTCTTCATAAATTTCTTATGTCATTCTTTAGTTTTGCTGAAATTGTATCCACTTCCTATCAAACTGCAAGAGCCAAGGTTCTACCTAGATTAGTTTTTATTAACATGACATCTTGTTAGACCGGTCCAGAGAGGACCGGTCCAGCCGGTCCAGAGAGGACCGGCTATAAAAGTTTACGGGAGAAGAAAACAGGCGGAGGGAGCCAGGGAGCCGGCGGACACAGGGAAGCAATAGGTGGGGTCCACTTGTTTTTCAAATTGAATCTTGAAGCCAAAAGGAGTGGAAGCAAGGGCAATTAAGTCCTTTTATGTTATTTTTGAATTATATGCATTAAATAGGTAGAGAAAGGAGAGATTAGGGTTATGTTGAATTTTCTTGTAGTTCTTTCTTGTTCTTCTTTGGTGGCTAGGCTCTAGATCGAATTCTAGAGATTGGGAGAGTGCGATCCTCCTCTCGAATAGAGGATCCTTGTATCTTTGCTATTTTCCTTGCATCTATTAGTAAAATACAAGTCCTTTCTCCACGTTTCCTGCAGTTTTTCTCTGTTTTTCTTCAGATTTGGGCTGTTTTCCTGCTGTGGACAGCGGTTGGATTTGTGATTTGTTGCCAGAGTGATTAGGAAATACTTGAAATCAAGTATTTCCTATCACATCTTCAGCAAATAAAGTTTGTTCTCCAAATGTTTTCAATATTTTCAATTCGGGCACAAGATCGAATGAATGCCCCAATCATCATTAGTTACACTATTACTTTCGGAGCTAGGCCAACCTTCCTTGCTGTCA